ACCGGCGCCGGTTTTAGCCTCGACCGGCGCCGGTTTACCCCTGGGCAGTTCATTTTTGCAACTTTTTGCTCGGAAACTGGCCGGTATCGGCCCCGGCCAGCCCGTACAGACCTGCTATCACTTTTAGCACTCAATACATGTAATTTACCAATCGTCACAAAGGGTTACCTGCAACGGAGTCGGGATTAGCCCGAGCGTCAGCCTCGGTCATCGCATAGACTCTAGCTTGAGTCCTCCCTTGATTTACAGACGGCGCGTTGCTTGTGCTTGCTCCCCCTTGCCCCGCACTAGCATGGGGTGCCCCAGTTCGGCTCCTACTCGCCGTAGTGGCGCCGCTTGATCCCGCCCCTCGGTTCCCACCAAGTTGAGGGCAATTTGGTTTAATATGCCCTGTACTCCCGCATTGGAAACACCGTGGTGGATCACGACACTTACCGGCGTGGCTCCTGTTACAATTCCTGCACCTGGGCGTCGTTGAGGCTTGTGAGCCCGAGTTGTGCCCGCTGAAAGCCGGGTTTCCCTTGGATGGCGGTGCCGGCATTCTGAATGATCCACCTCCCCCATGGTTCCCCTTTTTGTTAGAACCTTGGGGGCCATGGCCTTCCCACTTTCTCTTCTTCGCCTCTTCGGCGTCTCTCTTCTTTCTCTCTTCCCATTGCTTCTCTCCTTTCAACCCTTGGGCAACCACTTGGCTGAAAGTCATGTTGGGCAATTGAGTCGCCCTATCACGTATCTCCAGGTCCAAGGCCTCCCAAAAGTGATTCACCATTCGGTTTTCATCACAAGCATACTCCGGTATGTGGTCGGCAAGGTCCCTGAACTTGTGCTCGAGTTCTTTCACCGTCATGTTACCCCCTTGGGTTAGGAGAGTATATTCCCTCACCTTTGCATTTACTTCAAAGTCGGAGTAGTATTGGGCAAAGAATTCTTGCCGAAAATCCTCCCAAGTAACATTCCCACCATACTTGCCTTTGGTTCCATCCCACCACTTGGATGCCAACCCTTCAAGTAACCTCACCGCGATTCTCAGTTTGAAATCGGGGGTGAGCTGCATGTCAAGGGCTGCCTCGTTCAGCCTCTTGATCCATTGCGCGGCCACCGAGATGTCCCCCGTCCCATCGAACGGTTTGCACCCCAAGTCCCTCGCCTCTTTGATGTATTTGGAGATCCTTATGGTTGGACCCCCATCACCTCGACTTCCATGCGCCTCCACATGGGTTCTTGAATCACAATAGCTCCTTTCTCTTGGAGCCCCACCCGAAGGTTGCCCCGCACGGCGCCTTCGGCGTTCTCTCCTTTCCTCGCGCTCCCGATGATATTGTTGGAGAAGCGCTTCAATCCGAGCCAAGGAGCCACTTTCCTCCTCGTCGCTCACATCATCATCATCCCCTTCATAAGGGGTCTCAACCGGCTCAGTTTCCGGCCGGTAGGTTGAGTCCTCATAAGACCAATAGGTCTCATTCTCCGTGTCGACGTGGCCATCGCTCACGGTTTGACGTTGGCCTCCACGGCCCCTTCCTCTTGATCCCCTAGAGGACCCCCGGCTACCGCGTTCGGACCCACCCGGTACACGGCCCGTCGGGTTCCTCCTAGTGATCCTTCCGACTGGCTCCATTTCTGAAAGGAATTAGAGTGAGTCATTACACTCGTGTCAATGTCAAATGACGGATAGGTACTTAAAGACATCTTTTGGCTCAAGTCACCGTCATACCAATTGTTAAGGGTACCATCTTAACAATTAGAGACTTTGCAACTCAAGTACCAAAAGTTCTACAAGTACAAAACTTTTTATGCTCATGGTTTTCAAATTCGTTTTCAAAAGAGGTTTTGAAGCTTCATTATGAAGTTTACGGACTAAGGCTCTGATACCAATTAAATTGTCACGCCCCGGACCTGTCCGGACACGTCAACAATCCGCCGTACAGTACGAATAGTCAACCGCAGTCCAACACATTCATACTATACAAGGCGTCTGGGATATCATTCACGCATAGTACATCCATAAACAAACATAATGTAAAATATTCATTCAAAGCAGCGGAAACATGATTACAATTATTCAAGCCACACGTGGCAACCACGGGCATACAAGCCCCCAAATAAATATTCAAAATAATATCCATGAGCATTATTTAAATTGTTTTCAAAACAGAAACAGAAGAAGCACGAACCACGCCTTCCTCCTTGAATTCCACGAAACAACGAGCGGTAGTAGCAAGCTCTACTCCCTACCTGAAACTGTGAGGTGGCCTCCCCCATGAAGGGGAGGTCAGTACTTGGAAGCATTTGACAAGTACAATGACAACTATACTAAGTATAATCAAAGTTTCAATTTCCAAGACCCTCAATCCAAGATGTTATTCATTTGTACTTAACTCATGTTCTTTCATGCTAGAGCTCGGCTCATAGTCATGCTAATTTGTGCTAGAGCTCGGCTCATAGTCACCCTACGTTTGCTAGAGCTCGGCTCATAGTCATACTAATTTGTGCTAGAGCTCGGCTCATAGTCACCCTACGTTTGCTAGAGCTCGGCTCATAGTCATACTAATTTGTGCTAGAGCTCGGCTCATAGTCACCCTACGTTTGCTAGAGCTCGGCTCATAGTCATGCTACCACGTGCTAGAGCTCGGCTCATAGTCACGTCAACTAATCCCTAAACCACTTCTTAGTCTAGGTTCCATCCATTTTGAGTAACCCTTAAGGCCTACTCCAAATGTAACTTAAGTTCATAATAACTTGAATATCTCAATTAAATTCCACATTCAAGTATATCTTGGCTCTAATATCAAAATATCACTTTTAACCTTCCATGACTCCCTTACATGAGGTAAAAGTATATTTATCACAATTTAGTTTATAGTTTGCACAACTATTATACCATTGTATTCATAACACATAATCATACACAATTTATTCATAAATTTGTATATTATGCATTTTTGCTTATAAACAATAACAATCTCATTTAGGCATTTTATTATTATAAATACATCATGCCAAACACATATAATTCATTTAGGTAATCTTATGAAATTAACCCAATAATTATAAGCAATATAGTCGGTCATCCTCACCTTAAGTGAGCTTAAGCGTGTTCTACGCTCCGCGGTTGAACTTTGACCGATTCCGGTGAACTTTGACCAACTCCGGCCAACTTTGACCAACTCCGGCGAAACTCCGGCGAAGCTCAAAGATACTCTAAATCAAGTTCCTAACAAGGTTTTAACATCATAAAACCTTAATCAATACACATAACCCTTAAAAGGTTATTTTCCGGTGAACCGGTCGGTTTGGCTTCTAAGTCCGTTCTTGGACTTAGACCTACTCCCCAACCCATTATTCCACACTATTGGCATGTAGAACAACCTCAAGGGTTCTCCATAAGATATGTATCTCATAGGTTAGGGGAAAAATAAAGGAAAAGTTAATACAAGGTCATTACCTTAATCTTTCTCACTTTTCCTAGCCTTTTTCTCCCTTTAATCTTCCTCCTTGGAGCTTCCTTGCTTGAGTTCAGTTCTTGGCTATGGAGGATGAGGTTGCAAGAGCTATCCTTCTCTCTTGGGTCTCTTTGGCCGAAATAATGGGAGAGGGTGAGTGAGGGGATAGTCTATTTGGCATTTCTCTCAAAATAATGTGTAAATGGACCCCCTCATGGTACCTTGATAGCTTCCTCCCACCTCCCTCTTGTCTCACAGCTCAAGTGTGACACAAATCAGCCCCCTTTGGCTGCCAAATTCGTGGGTTGGCCCCCACCCATGTGGGAGGTCAACCCTTTTTGTCCAGGAGTGTACAATTGGTCCCGAAAGTTGTATTTTTCGGACTGTTTTAGATATATTTTATTTTATCGGGTCAAATAAAATATATTATGTGTTCTCCATCATTATGACCCCTATAATGAATATTCATCTCCCAACTTTAATTTATAAGTCCCCGAGATTCAATTTCGGGCTTTCATCGGTTAAATTGCCAATACCGGTATTTGGGCCTCTTTTGACAAATCGGTCAACTCTGGACCTTCCCATGGCTCAAATGAGATATCCACCACCATATAAATATTATCTAGACCAAGATGAATAAAATATGTGGTCCCGGAAATATCGGGCGGCCCCCGCTCCCGGTGCGGGCCCCACGTGCGAATTTACTATTCACGCAAAAACATTAATAAAAATTCACAACTTCGAATACTCGTTAACCATTCCATGAGTTCAATACATTATTCCCTTTAAAAGTAAATACATTTGGGGACGGTGTTACACTATCTCTCTTGCGTCGAGGATGGAAGTTTGGAGGAGATGTGATGATTCCTCAAGGCGACGCCCCCATAAGCAGTTGGCCGTGGACGAGCGACAATAGTGGCCGATGGTAGATGACGACGATAACTGCGCTTTAACTCAGCAGTTATCTTCAAGAATTCATTTGAATGCCTTCCCGATTGAAGTTTTAGCTGAAATTTGGTATGAGTAAACTAGACTTAATGAATAAGATGTTAAAAAAATATCGTCAAAAAATTCCACCGGGAACCGCCCAAATGGCGACGGCCAGACAGAGCCTCCTATATAAGGACTTATTTGATCATTTTTATGTAACTTCGAGTACCAAACAGACCCTTTACTCCAAAAAAACTCTGTAATCAAACCCGTTTTTAAATGATTAAACGTGATGACAAATACTAAGGACGTTTGTACTTGGACTGTTTTCAGTCTTAGACTAAATCAGATCAGGTTAAATCAAACCAGATTTGGATAGTTATAAAATACACAGAGATAAGACATTTACTAGACCAGACCAGCTCATACCAGAGTAACAACATCCTACATTAAAATATACTCCGTAATTCCAACCTACACCGGTTCGGCCGTCAAAACCATAATAATCCCGTCTGACTAGATTTGGTCTCATCTTGGACCCGAATTATTGCGATCCGGATTCCGGTCTGTAATCCGGTCACATCGGTGATTCTGGTTGTGTTCCAAACCATTTCGGCCCGGTCTTGTTCACCCATTTCTAGCGTAGAACCGAAAATTGACGTCCCCATCATCATGATCGTGTCTTAACTGTTCCAGCGTATTCACAGCCTCGGAAGCGTAGTTGGGCATCACGCAGTTCTACCCCCAAATTCTCCTACTCCTCCCTAATCTGCGGCCGGAACCGCCGTCCTGCCACCTAACAACGAACTGAACGTCAGCTTCATCACTAAGAGGTATGAAAGCCTACTACTTTACTCTTTTTCAGATTTAATTTTTTCAGGCATTCACAATTAAATTCAGGGCTATAGCTATGTACGAATTTATGAAGCATGCTCAAAAATGTATAGCCATTATATTATACAGCTGCCGAGCTGCGTATAATTCTATTACCCGCCGAGAAGCGGAGAAGAGCAAAGTAAAGCGACAGACCGGTTCGGGAATCGATTTTAGAGTGGGAGTTACAGCTGAAGACGACAACCTGCTCAACAAGATGCCGAAGCCGACAAAGTGCTGAACAATACTAGGGTTGAAGACTAGAGGTTTAATCCTAATAAACTCTAACATTTTAGATTTGTTTGTTTGGGCTTCCAGATCATGCGAATGTAAAATGGCCCCAACCAAAATTTCTGAAACTCTGTTTTTTGGGGGAAACACATTTCTAACTTTCCCAAAACAAAAAACTGGCCCGACACGCGTATCAGCGGTTTCTCACGTTCGGAAACGTGCATGTGTGTACGTTTCCGATACTCGGAAACTCACCTCTCGTGTTTCCGTGCATTATAGAGTTTTGGTGCTGAATTTAGTTGTGGGGCTAATCAGGCTATTTGTTAAATCAGTTATGGATTCGAGCTGTATTTAGCTTGCAACCTTTTTCCTTGTTTTTCAGCTCCGAATATTGAAACTTAGAGGTGTTTTTGGCTTTTATTTATGCGTGCTTGTGGAGTTGTAATTTTTTGCCAGTTTTCTTTGGTATTTTTATGTTGGAAATCTCTTTTCCTTAACACACACACATATTTGGAACATTTTGAATTTTACATTACCTACATTCTCTATTCGTACTACATTTTATTTATTAATGTAGTAGAAATTTAATTTTTGAAAAAGTACTGTTAATTTCGTCTCATTATAAATTTTCAAAACATGTTTTTTTTTAATTTTTTACTAATGGTGAACCATAGTCACATGGTTCACGATACGATTCGATACGGGAACGAGGAACGGGAACGCGGTTCGCTAGATCTAGCATATCCGATTCGCAGGGGGTAGGTTCATTTCGGTACGCGTTCGGTACGCGTTCGGTACGATGTACCATATGTTCGGTACGTTGTACCTAATATTTTGGTACTATAATAAAAATATAAAACTGAATTATAGATTATAGAATACAGATTTCAACATTGAACAAAAACAGACTTCATAACATGATTTCATAACATTAAATAAAAGCAAAAACATTAGTGCAGGGAATAACAAAAGCAAAAACCAGAAGCAGACCCAAAGACCATTTTGAATGACTAGAAGAAAGACCAAAAGAGCAGGTACAGGCTGAGGAAAGTGGTCTATATTCTATAAAGTCCGAAACAAGAGTACAGGGTTCGATAATAAAACTTCATACGCTGTTTACACACAGGAAACGAAATGAAGAGTCGCAGACCTTAATTTGAAATATGGGAAGTGACGATTGAAATCTGGGAAACGATTAGAAAAGAGGTTTTGTAGTTGTCCGACGAAGGGAAACGGCGAATAAAATCGCTGCCAACATCGATTGGGATCGATTTCAGGAACGGTTGGGGTCGACTCTGAACAGCGACTGGGTACGACTCCAAGACCGTACCGCATAGCGTTCCGGCAAGCGATCGGATCGTTTTCGTACCGCGATTCGGTACGGAGATCGCGGGTACTGTAGCGATTTATGTATCTATGTGGTGAACTGAATACTAATGGTCAGAGTTGTGTGTTTGCAAACATGAAAATGAAAGTTATGCAACTAATAAAGAACAATGGAAGTATATATGTATATATATTGCATATGTTTATATGTGTGTGTGTTTATATACAAGGGATGTGTTATATGTAGACATGCAGTTTTAAAGGGAAATCCAGCATTGGAGTGTGTATGTGCGTGTGTATAAAATTAAACATTGACAGGGTCAACCCACCGGGTTTGGGTTGACCCATGAACCGGTAACTTCACCGGTTTGCCTCCTGGTCCGATTTTAACTACATAATAGAATACCTATAAAAGAGCATTAAAACCCCGGGAGTAATGGGAAAGAATTAAATTCAAATAAGAAGAAGAAAACACACACAGAGACACAAAGAGATGTCAGACTCTACACATGTCACAGTTAAATATGGTGTTTACATGTTTAGCAACATTATTTGATTTTCTCAAAAGCGAATACATAATAAAGTGATAGCTTCTAGCTTGTGTAATGTACGGAATACTATTTTAAGGTGTTTTATGAGAGTGTTTATATTTGTAATGGCAGGAATAGAGTTTTGGCTCATGAGTTAACAAGGTATTCATCTAATTGCTGTTAGCAGTATGTTAGGAAGTCCGGGGTCTAGGGCTTGAATGCGTTATTGGGCATATGATACTAATGTTTTGGTTATATTGGGGTTTTATTGTGATGTGATATATTATGACATATTATGAAATACGATGTCTAAGATCAGTGTTATTTGAATCGTGTAGTGCAAAGCTGTAAATTTATTTTATAAACACAACAAAACTACTGGTGTTTGGTAGTAGCACTGCAGATTACAGATAACATTAACGACCGTGCTTATTTATATGTTTATTTTGAAATTGGCGGGGTACAATTTTTTGAATGTTGTGGAGTGTGTAGTACTCCTCCTGTCCCATAATGTTCTTCAATTTCCCTTTTACACCTGTTTTGAGACAGTGAAGTTGTGTGGTTGAGAGTCTTTTTAGGAAAGAAGAGTATATTAAATTATTAACCATACAATTCTTTCTTTAATGGAAATAAAAAGAAAGTAGGAAAAACATTTTGGGACAGTTGTGCAGTGTTTAATCATTTTGCATGTCTTCATAGGTTGTTAATTATACAGTTTGCGTAAGAATATTTAATTGATCTGCTTCTCTTGTGTATTTTAATAAATTAGACGGATAATGAGGGAACTATAGGCTGCTGGTGTATGGTGCAAAACAAGTAGCTCGTGAGTGTTTCTTACTACAGATAAAAAGAAAGAAAAAAGAAACGTTGGGCAGGACTGTGACAGAACTTGAATACATTTACTTATTCTGCAGGTAACTCAAAATCATTTCTTGCATCTCAATTTGTGTTTTCCTATGTCCATCGCAAATACTGAATATCTTTTCCTCCATCTTTAAAAAGAAGACAGTGCAATCTAAAGTATAAACTATCAAGACGCCCTTATACCTTTAAAATGTAATTATAATTTCCTGGTCAAATGGATTTTGAGGTTCCTTCTGCATTTTATGTACATTTATGCTGTTATCAGTTTGGTTTGGATCTTGTCCAAGATACTGGGTCGGATTTATGCTCACTGTGGAGTTATCGGATACTCGACCTTATTAAGACACAAGAATTAGTTTTCCAAAGAGTAGTTTATTGATCAGTATTAAGGTCCCTTGCATAGCTATCACAAGAAATATAATCATAATAGAAAAGATAAAGCCAAAGACTAATAAGAAGCTGACTAAAACTGAATAAGAAAACAACACTAATAATATGGATAGGAAAAAAAACATTTTTTTGAATAGGAAAGTAAATTCATTCTAATACTACCTCCGTCCCGGAAACAAGTTCCCGGGTTGACTTTCACACATTTTAAGGAAATAAAGTTACCGAGGGGTAAATTTTACTGTTTTGACACTGTTTGTCACTGTTTTGCATTGTTTGACACTGTTTTGATGTAGATAATTTGCCAAATGAGGAAATGAGAAGTTTATTTTGGGACATCCAAATAAGGAAAGTGGGAACTTGTTTCCGGGACGGAGGGAGTATTATTTAATTAATAATAGGGAATTAATAATAATAATAATAATAATAGTAAGAATATAATTATAGAAAGTTTCCTTCCATAGTACTTCTCCGTGTTCGTTCACGCTGCCCTTGCAGAAGTCACAAATGCTTGATTTAATGTTGATATCTCTTAAGGTGCGTTTGATGATTATGTTGGTGTTAACATCGACGTGATTTGTCTGGAATTGCAACTTTGGGATCTTATATATTGGTCTGTGGTAGATAATCATGTAATATACTAATCTTATTCTAAGCATGTTTTTATTGAAGCAAGGTCGGTGTAAGAAATGCTTTTAACTTATTTTGAAACCAAATATTTCGTTAAGAAGCTAGTACTATCTCTCTCTCGCGCACAGACACTTAATAAAGAGGAACTATTTTAACTTCTGTTTGTGGCCATTACTGTGGACAGATGAGGATATGTTATTGCAGCATTTTCTTTTTTGCATTCACATGTATGATTGGAATGCTTGATGGTAGTGCCGGTGACATTGATCCATCATATAGGTAATACTGTAATATACTTCGTACATATATAAAGTATAGACTGCACCAGTTTGATTTTTCTCTAGAGAAAAATGTGTTTTTGGCGGTGGTAGGGTGGATGTAACCCACAATGCAAGTCATTTTTTGTCACATTCAACAAAGTGGCTTACAATCCTCTCTATGTCAGGACTTGTTTGGGAGAATGTGAAAAGACTGGATGTGCTGCGGGAAGATGTTTTCCAAACTGCAAAATGTATTCTGACAGTTCTTCCACCAGAGGCATGGCCCTGAACATTCAAAAAGGTCTCTATGAGTGGTGGAAACAATTGGACTGCAAAAGTGATTGCATGTATCACTGTATGACTAAGAGAGAAAAGGAAAGAGGGTCACTTGGTCTTGGACCAGTGAAATATCATGGAAAGTGGCCTTTCATACGTCTCTTTGGGCTTCAGGTCATTTGGTTTGTAGGTTTATAACAGATAATTGCCACATTGGAGCAAAAGGTAAGAATGAATCTGTTTTTTTAAGCATTGTTTCTTTGAATGTTGCAGGAGGCTGCATCTGTTGTTCTCTCGCTACTCAACCTTGCAATTCATTTCCATGGTTGGTTGTCCTTTTACATGCTTGTTAAGTACAAGTTGCCATCTAAAGCAGACAGGAGACCATACTATGATTACACTGGCCTGTGGCTCATATTTGGCCTGCTGTCTATGAACTCATGGTTTTGGAGTTCTGTTTTCCACAGTAGGTGAGCTCATATTGTGTTCTTGTTGGTGAAAGATTCTCAGTTTTTAGTTCAATTTTTTCCCCAGTGCCTTATTGCCTCATGAAGTAGGATTTTTACATTTCACACAAAAACTAGTTACATTTCATGAAGTAGGATTTTTTGGGACAAAAGCTCTTTTAAAACAAGGACTCTTATGGGAGGTACTACAGTACTACACTGTACTCATGTTTTCATCACTTGTTTTTGAGTTTTTTTAAACTTAAAACTGAAAACTGGAGACGAGCCCAAACATGTCTCTTATTAGACATGTCATACTCAGTATATTTCTTTAAACTACGCATTATTGATTTTCTTGGTAAGCAGGGATGTTGATATTACAGAAAAGTTTGACTACTCATCTGCGATAGCCTTGCTCGGCTATTCTCTTATTCTGGCTATCTTAAGAAGTTTCAGTGTGAGGGATGAGGCTACCAGAGTGATGATTTCTGCCCCCATTCTTGCTTTTATAACAACCCACATACTTTACCTGAACAATTATAAAATGGACTACGGTAAGTGTCTCACTCCCATTCAGCTATTCTTACCTGAAGTAATTTTTGCAGCCCTAAATTAAGATACATATTATGGGTGACAAATAAGATACCATTGGCATAATATAGATCTTAGAACAGTTTATGGTAAACTGCAAAGGGAAGGGAGAGATGTGAAGTGATGTAAAGTGCATGTATAAATAATAAATCCTATGTGCCAAGTCATATGTGTATTAAATTTGCTAGATGTTATGTGCATTAAGGCTCCGTTTGGTTATATGAATGAATAGCCTTGCTGTGGGAAATATATTTTTACGTTGTTTTCTAAACGACCCACAAAATTAGAAAACATCAAACTGTTTCAGGGAAAAGACTTCCTGTGCCACATAAATGTTTTTTTAAGAAAATGTTTTCCCATGCAAAACATGGAAAAACCCAGGAAATACAGAAAGTGCACTTTCTTCCAACTATTTTTTGGTCTGCCTCACTGGGTAATGATTTTTGAGGAAAATGATGTTCTTGTTTCCAAAAAGGGAAGGCATGTTCCACAAAATGTTTTCTCACTACAAATGTTTTCTACTGTTCGATACAGAAAATTCATTTAAGTAAAATGTATGTTTTCATGTCCACAACACAGGAGAAGTCCAGAGAACAGTTTGCCTATGTTTGGATCTTGGAAAATGACAGGGAAAGGAAATAAAATGTTACCCAGTTTTATTTTCTTATGTTTGGATGTACTCTAGGAAATGTAGAGAAACGTGAAATACGTTTTAAATTTGACTATGTTCAGATTGCAAATGAACAAATATACACCTTGTTATGTACTAGGTTGGAACATGGTGGTGTGTGTTGTGATGGCCGTAGCTCAACTTGTCATTTGGGCAGTTTGGGCTGGAGTGAGCCATCATCCTTCTCGATTGAAATTGTTGTTCGTCGTGGTTGGGGGTGGCCTTGCAATGCTTCTAGAGATCTATGATTTTCCTCCATATAAAGGACTTGTGGATGCACATGCCCTTTGGCATGCCACCACAGTCCCCCTCACTTACATATGGTGGAGTTTCATCAAGGATGATGCGAAGTTCCGAACATCTAGCCTGCTCAAGAAGCTAAAAAAGTAGTAATCCTTCATGATCAATGCTCCAACAGGTCGAGCATTCGTTTGCGCCATAATTTGTATTCAAATTTCGAGTTTCCCCTGATGGCCTGATGTGTTTTGTCAGTGGAGGATATGGGTGTTTTTCATTTTCTTGTATGTGTAGAAAAATGGATACTTGTTTTGAATTTTGATAGCATATGCCTAATTTATTTACGACCAAGATTTGTGTCCCTTGCATCAACCCAAAAGCACCTTATAGGCTTATAGCGGACAAACCGAAGTATTTGTGTTCTCAGTTATTTGACAGACAACTTGGAGTGTACACCATATATGTACAAAAAGTGTCAACCAACGTCATGTAAGCAAAAAGAGAACAAATACGGATGGGTCCAAAAGTTTGTTCAAATCTTGTACTCGTACGTGTTTCATAACAAATGAAAACCATAATATTCTATTCCCCTATCACTCATATATTCCCACTTTCCTTTTTTAGCCGTAATATCCATATCTTCCCGTTCCAAATTATTTTCATCATATCCTCAATAATTTTAAAAATAATACACTATTACAACTATATATTTTTTGGATTTATTCTCCATTCCAACACACTATTTCATTATTTTCTCATCACACCCTCAATAATTTATATCTCTTTTCACTATTCTTAATCCAACCTACTTTCAATGGGAAGATATATCTGGGAAGATATATCTGTTACGGAGGTAGTATATGAGTATATCATTGAAACAAATTCTTTGTGCATTATATTAGTGGTGCACTCCAGTGACTCTGCTAAACTAGTACTACGTATTACACCTGTCACAGCATGAATCCGGTTCGGTCTTGGGATTACTGAAGAGTGAAGACTGGCTTGACCCAAGTATTTAGGGTCGTGATCTGGTTGCGGGTACCTAGCCGGTCTCAGGCCCGGTTCATTGATATTTTTGTGATTTAATATAAAAAAAAATCATTATATGCATTAGAATTTCAAATGTATGTGAATTGTAAAAATTTAATTGACTTGTACATATAAAAAAGATTACAATTTGAAACTCAATGCAAAATTCCTCAAATTAAAGTGTAAATAACGCATATAATTATGTGTGTAAATATTTAATTGTTGAAATAAATGTGTAAACAGTTAGGGGTGAGCATGAGACGGTTGAGACAGTTATTTTAAAGAACATGTTTCGTTCGAAAGTATGATTCTTTTACAAATAAAAGAATTCGTACCGTTCTGAATATACATAGCACATGTCTTGTTCTGTACCAACTTTCATCACGGTTTACTGGTTTAGTATGGTTTTTTTGTATCATTCGGTTCCTAAATAATTAACTGCCACAAGGTTCCAACAACTTAGATTTTTAACATTAAAAGTAATTGAACAAAAACGCAAGAGAAGGTAGTAAGGTACAACAAAACTAATGATTCTAAAGCTTTGATCGAGTAGACACAACCTAAGTTATTAGCTATAACTCCTATAAATAATACTCTCCGTCTTTTATCACTTTGTCAACATTCCTTTTTTGTTGTCCCAAAAACATTGTCGCGTTTTCTTTTAATCAATTAATTTGTGATTTCTATCGCTTTCTCTCATATGCGCAAATTTCAACCACACAGTTTTTACTTTATTATTTTACGTGTCGTTCAAACCTGGCAAAATTTCGATGGACGGGGAAAGTACGGAGTATTTCTCTCATTTAAAAGGGGACGGAGGGAGTATAATATAATCAGTTTTTCGAAATGGTTTGGGGTAGTTCGGGGTGGTTTAGTTCAATACGGTTCCGAGATAGTTCTCACTTTAGAACTGATACCACCATATTATTAGAAAATTTTGGTCCGGTCCGGTATTATATTTCTCCGCTTCTTTCGATTCTCATACAATTCAGGACGATTCTTCGGTATGGAATGGGCCGAACGGGTAATTCCGGATCCGCGCTCAGTCCTTTAAGACAACAATACAAAATATATACAAATCTCCTCCTCTTCGTAGCTAGGGGTGGACTCGGGCCGGGTGGCCCGACCCCGAACCGGCCCAGCCCGGCACTATTCCGGCCCGGTGGCCCGGTCAGTGACCGATCCGGGTAGGCCCGACCCGCTAGGGGTCCGGTCCGGGCTCCCCCCCCCCCCCCCCCCCCCAAATCATGAACCGGCCCGACCGGTTTGGGCCCGGTTCCGAGCCTTTTTAATTATTTTTTTTCAATTTTTTTTTTTACTTTTTGGGTTGGGCTGGGTATTTTGGGCCATTTGGGGTGGTTTGGGGGTGAGGGGGAGTGGTTAACTAGGAAAAGAGAAAAAAATTAATAATAACTAAGGCCCGGCCCAGAACTGGGGATTACCCAGGCCGGTTCCGGGGCCCCCATTCCTGAACCGGAGGCCCGACCGGGCCTAGGCCCGGCCCGAGTCCACTCATATTCGTAGCTTTCACTTCCTCTATTACTTGTCGTTTCCTTCATGAAATGGTGGACCGGTGATATGTTTTGTTCTTGAGTTTGCCGGTGGCCCTTCAACCAATCGTCAAAACACACGAGCGTCTGAAGAGATTGTGCGCTCAACCTCATTCTATAACCAATTAGGACGTTCCCGACTTAACTATACTCTTGTTCCACGGCAACTGTTGAAACCGGTATGGATATTTCACCATTGTTGATAAAATAGGATACATCACTTCTTTGTCATTCTACCATTTGAGAATGTCAAAGTCTTCACTCTTTTCATACTCACAAGAAAACGTTAGATATAAAGAAATCTCTATAATCAAGCTTTAATTTGTGAAACAATAGGAGTTAATTTAGTTTTTTTTCAAAGGATTAGATATTGTTGATTTAAAAAGACTCATTAAATAAATTATGAAATACATAGTATATTATTAACCTTGTTGAATTGAGCATGAACATCAATAAGTTGTCCACGTACATGGCCAAGTCTCATAGAAATAATTATAACACCACTCTAAAAAGGGGAAAATGATATAAATACTCCAGACTTTGACGGAGAGTGAGATAAATCTCCCAAAGTTGCATATGTAATAGATATACCTCCACCTTTATATAAAAATAATTTTAGCACCATGACTATATGTTTTTTACATATACAAATTTATGGCAATAAGTACACAATTTAAAAACACGCTAAACTTTATTTGGATGCAATTAACATTCTAAAATTTTATTTGTGAAATAAATAATATTAACTTTGCTTGGAATATGATGGAATAAAGCAAAATTGCTCACTAAATTGTTTGCGCTTCTTTGTTATGGTGCAGCGGTCAGTCCATGTAATTTCGACGAGATGTTCACTATGCATGGGTCATACAGAAATAAGATGTAGTCATGGATATGTCCGTGACAAACGCACCAAAGTAGCAATTCCGGTCACAAACTAGTCACGGATCATGGTCGTGACTAATCTGTGACTAAACGTAGTCACGGATAAAAGTTTGTGACTACACTTAGTCACGGACCAAATTCGTGACTAAAGAGGTTAGTCACAGATTTTTAACACTACGGTTCGTGACTAAGTCCGTGACTACGGCCCTGTTTTTCTGTACTAATTAAGGGGTAAGGCTGCGTACATCCGACCCCCCTTACCCCACCGTAGATGGGAGCCTTTGCGACACTGGGGTGATGGTGATGATGATGATGATCCTCGTAAGTGATTTGTGTGTTTTAAATTGTATGCTTAACACGGTGGAATTACATTTGTGAAAAAACATATGATCATGGTGTTAACATCACTTTTATTTAAAAAAAATGGAGTATATATTACATGTGTAAGTTTGGGGTACTTACCTCACATCTCTTCAAAGTTTGAGATATTTAAATTATTTTCTCATTCTTAAAATATTTAATAACTACAAACTTTGAAATGAGAATCAAAACGAAAGCAATAGCATATATAATTGTGCCATTTGTTACAAAGCATGTAATTGTGACAATATTATTTTGGGGTTGTCCAAAGGTAAAACAATAAAGGCTAAAGGGTCAAATAGGCCCCTTAACTGGCTTAAAGTGTTCAATTAGCCCCTTATATAGGAGGTTCTGCCTGACCATCGCCAATTGGAGCGGTTCCCGGTGGAAATTTTTGATGAAATTTTTTGAGCATCTTCTTCATTAAGTCTAGTTTACTCATACTAAATTTCAGCTAAATATTCAACCGGGAAGGCAGTCAAATGATTTTTTGAAGATAACTGCGAAGTTAAACAGCGCGGTACATTTCGGAAAATCATCTGACTGCCTTCCCGGTTGAATTTGTAGCTGAAATTTGGTATGAGTAAACTAGACTTAATGAAGAAGATGGTCAAAAAAATTCATCAAAAAATTCCACCGGGAATCGCCCCAATTCGCGACGGCCGGGCAGAATATCCTATATAAGGGGCTAATTAATTGAACACTTTAAGTCAGTTCAAAGGCCTGTTTGACCCTTTAGCCAACAATAAAAATGACCGTTTGGACCGTAATTATGACCAGGACCGTCTGATTTGGTCCAAAAAAATTTAAACTAGGACCAAGTGCCCTAAATCTTGGACCCGGTTCAGTCCCTTGTCTGAAACCCTAAAAACGAACTCTGGTATAGGCCATAGCAGTATCGGAGTCGGTAGGTTCCAACTCGAACCGGACCACCACTGAATATAATGAATACTGAGTCTCGACCAAAGTTTTACTCAAAAATAAAAATCGGCCAAAGCTATTTCACGTGAAATCTATGACGACATGAAGGCACACCTCACTTTATTTAAATTTCATACTATTGCCGTTTGATTCACACTTGCAACATTTGTGTACTACTTATTTCCACATCAAATAGTGGATTAATTGTTTTACATTGAATTAACAAAGAGTGAAAGAGTAGTAGAGCATGAAGAACACGTGACAGAAGCCCTAAACACAAAAGTTATAGGTTTCATAATTATTGTGAATGATTGAGACAATGCGTAATTACGGGTGTATGTTTCATCAAATCTAGCATGCCTAATTTTAGTGATACTTACACATGTGAATGAGTGAGAGACAATGCGTAATTAGAGAATAAATATTAATGTATATTTAAACTTTGTCGCAATTAGCGATACTTACATACAAATTTTAACTTATACATGTACTAGGCAATAGACAATTAATTCGATTCATGGTTATTTTTTGTGAAGACATATATATAAAGTGATTAAGTGTACAACATCAGTAAAAGAGAACATCCAAATATTTCACGAGGCAAGATATAATTTGATAAGGATCTTGCAGATGGCATGTTTTAAGAAATATAATACAAAATTAACATTTGAAAATATCTTAATATAGTTAAAGTAAGCTGAATTTTCAGAAAAGATTACAGCAAGCAAGATTTTAAAACGGAGTACTATTTCCACTGTTGCACGTAGAGATAGTTCATGTGTGTGTAACAGAGTAAGGAGAGTTAAATCATTCTTCAAACATACGGAGTAATATTTATGTTAGTTTTTTTTCAATAGTTATGGTAAAACAGTTAATTTGG